GGTTAGAGTCACGAATATAGCAGCAATCACAATGGACAGTCAAAGGAAACGACATTCCCTAACCCTTCCCCGCAACTTCATTTGACCATCCTTTCGGCTCGGAGGTGGTTCTGCCCAGGTTTTCTTAGCTTCTGGAGTGGGTCTGCAGAACAGAGATATGGTGGCTGCGGGACAGCCTGCATCCCTTCGTTACATACCCTGAAATGATGATGATGATGCTGGTGAACATGATGATGAGTCAAGGTTCAGCCCCCCAGTCATGTCGGCACTGCACTGCCTTCGCCCACGGCTTATCCAGGCCAGCCCGTTTTCGCGCCATCGCATGCAGCACAAGCCCGTCAGCGGCCTGCACCACAGGCACCTCGTGTCAGGGCTCCCTTGATCGTGTCGGCTTTTCTTGTGTGCTGCAGGTAGCAGAACATCAATGTGGCTTGTGTATGCGTCGGGATCAAACTACCCGGAAGAAAGTAACCCGAAACCCCTCATTCGAGTTGTTGTGAAGACAAAAAGAACAGCTGGACTCAGCTGGACAAGCATGGATTTCGAGGTCGACCCAGCACCAAAAAACCCTGGACCCTTGATCCTCAAGCCCAAAGCGAGAAATCGAAAAGTCCGTGGCACTTCAAACCAAAGCCCACCGCCGTCGATCTCAACCGCAAGACAACTGAATCCTAAATTCTTAAGTCTTGAAGGATCCCTCGGAGCACCTAAGAACAAGTAAAGTGCTAGAACCATGAATTGATTTAGAGGCCTTAACAAGTAGAAAAGGTTTTGAGTGCCCCATTATGCTATAGTTATAACCAAGGGCCCACCAAAATAGTATAGGCATGTATTAACTTCATTGGCAATGTGGCAGGGGCAGTCACAGTTGCCCGCGCAGGCCCAGCAGAACACACAGGTGGAGCCAGCTCATTCACGGAAATCAGTCTAGGTTTTTCAATATTAGGGCTTCAGGGTTTAGCGTTCAGGCCTCGGGGTGTGGGTTCAAGAAGAACCCTAAGCCGATTTAGGTCCAGGGTTTTAGGCTCCTTCGGTGTTATGTAAGAATTCAGGGCTTCGGTTCATCACATTCGTCGGTTCTGAGATGCTGTAAGCGCCTGGGACCTCTAACAGGGGGTCACCAGGGACACGGTAGGCTCTGACGAGCTACAAGTACAGACTGCCATCCCCGCCATCCGTGATCTTTTGCAACACATAAAATATAGGGGCCCGAATAAGACTTAATAATACTATTTGGGGGTTTCTTTATTATAACTATAGCATAGTGGACCCCAAAACCCTATTCTAATTATTAAGGCCCCTATTTCAGTGTTTCAGCACATGGCTAATCAAGATGGTTTGGTGCATTATTCGGGTCGCTTCAACGATCATGCATCCCTTCCGACAACCTTAATGCTCTGACCCTTTACAACAGATGCAAAGTTTGTGGTTCCCTAGTGCAAGCCGTAGAAACTCGCAACAGCCCAGCCGTAACAAGATGGGTGAATTACACTTGGGTAGTTGTCAAATGGTCCCTTCTTGGGTACCTTAAATATTAGGTGCCGTATTATATTAGGGACCCAACAAGGGACCTTAATTTTGACAACCACCCACTTGGAGGCAGACGTCAACAAGGTGGCCGCAGCGCCGGTGGTAAGGAGTCTGGTGTCGCTGCAACGAGCCCCTCGGCTTCGATACCCAGACCCCCGGGAGGATCTAGAAAGTAGATCCCCTAATTATAATTATCCCTAATTCGGGGCCCTGTACTACTAAGGGTACTTTATGGGAACCCCCATTAAGGGATCTACTTTTTGGATCCTCCCGGGGGTCTGGGCAATGGTGATGGTGCGAATAACTGGGTTGTCCTTTGGCATCGTTTTTAATTTCCCCTATTATTTTGTAGAAAACCATAATAGTAATTAGTTTTCAAAGGCTTAAAGGACAACTCAGATAAAGGCAGGTGCTTGTTATTCGTGTTGATAGCAATCATCATCTCCATCCCCAGTATCGTCATGATGTTGCTGTTGTAGATGGTGAAGGGGGGGTATGCAAAGCAGCGAAGATGGACGAAGATGACGAGCTAATAAAAGCGATACACTGGTGCCAATGGTGTTGCAGCGGATGGTGCTGCGCTTGATGCTCTGGATGCTGCTGATGATGATGGTGATGACCACCCTAAACCCTAAACCAACCGCCATTGGAATGAACATCGGTGACCTCTTGACTTGCGAGATGCTCGAGGTGCGGCAGCTAGCAGGGCCTGTCGACTCGGCCTGTGAAAAATGATATTATAGGGGCCTAAATAAGTAACAATACTATGTTGGGGATTCCTTCTTATAGTTGTAGTATAATGGGCCTCAAAACCCTATTCTAATTATTACGGCCCCTATAGTACATGCTGAGTTGGCTCCCCGATGTGAATTGGTTGAGACCTTGCAGCTGAGATGTGGTGATGATGAGAAAGTCTGAAACTCCGGTCAGGTTAGTCCCATATAGCATCACTGCTCTGATTTGACGCCTGACTGTCGTTTTTTCCTTGGCTTCCTTCCAAGGACAGCTGCAAAATGGAGAAAACTCCAGAGGGGCGTGGGCTCCCAGCTGCAGCTTCCTTCCTTTGCCCGCCACGGGGGCTGCTCGTACTTCCTGCCTCTATGCCCGAGAATCTTTTGCTAGCTGCTCATCATTCCGAGTCGACGGCTTAAGCCTTAAGCATAAGGAGCACTTGCCTGCAGAAAGCTTGGTGCCATTTTGTCGACCAACGCTCTTAAGGTTCATGTTGCACTCTAAAATGCATGCTACTACTACTACTACTACTACTACTACTACTACTACTACTACTACTACTACTACTACTCCTACTGCTACTGCTACTGCTACTGCTACTGCTACTGCTACTGCTACTGCTACTGCTACTACTACTACTACTACTACTACTACGACTACGACTACGACTACGACTACTACTACTACTACGACTACTACGACTACGACTACGACTACGACTACTACTACTACTACTACTACTACTACGACTACGACTACGACCACCGCAATCATTTGAATCTCAGGGTCGCTCTGCGTTTCCTTCTCTCGGCGGTCGGCCCCGGGGTGGCCCGCGCTTTTTTCCTGGCCGGATGCTCGGGGAGCTTGTAAGGAAACCGTTTCAGTGGAACCCACGTCAGGAACATGCTTCCTAGGCCCCGAACCCTTTAGCGCCCTATGCATCAAGCCTTAATCCAAACTCCCAAGCCCTAAGACGGGGATCTCAAGAATTGGTATTTGTGTCCCCCCCTATATTCCCTACATACAGAAACTAGTAACATAATGCACCCCCCACACCCGACTCTCGTCATTCATTACTGCCCCCACCTTAAATCCCTGAATCCTCTCCTTCCCAGTGCTCCTGGCAAGCCCAGCCTGAACCTTACCATCCTAGAGCCCTAAACCCTAAAGCTCGAAACCCAAAACCCTAAAGCCCTAAAACCTAAAGCCCTAGACCCTCAGCACTATAAGATGAAGCCATACAGCATGGACTAAGGCGGATCCAGCCTCAAAGGACAGCACGGTCGGCTTTTTTCGCCAAAGGGCGGCGCTTTTATCACGGAGTTGGTTAAACTTGCCGTTACAAAATCAACGATGTCATGTAGTAGTACTGATAGTAGTAGTACTGATAGTAGTAGTACTGATAGTAGTAGTAGTAGTAGTAGTAGTAGTAGAAGTAGTAGTAGTAGTAGTAGTAGTAGTAGTAGTAGTAGTAGCAGCAGCAGCAGTAGTGGTAGTGGTGGTAGTAGTAGTAGTAGTAGTCGTAGTAGTAGTGGTAGTGGTAGTGGTAGTGGTAGTGGTAGTGGTAGTGGTAGTCGTAGTCGTAGTGGTAGTGGTAGTGGTAGTGGTAGTGGTAGTGGTAGTGGTAGCAGAAGGAGTAGTAGTAGTAGTAGTAGTAGTAGTAGTAGTAGTAGTAGTAGTAGTAGTAGTAGTAGCAGTAGTAGTAGTAGTAGTAGTAGTAGTAGTAGTAGTAGTAGCAGGAGTAGTAGTAGCAGGAGTAGTAGTAGTAGTAGTAGTAGTAGTAGCAGTAGCAGTAGAAGCAGTAGTACCAGTAGCGATGGTTGGGCGATTGGGGTTGCAGAATGTTTGGAATTCCAGGAGCTTTCTGTAATGGGATTTCTGGGTTTGGGGTTTATGACGTTTAGAATTTAGGGCTTCGGGTTAATAGGGTTCAGGGTTCAGGATTTGCATCCAGCCTGCCCAGTTGGCTGGTTCGGACGGCTACTCACTCAGATTTTCCTTTTTGTTTGCAAAGTTGTCCTTTGGCACGGACATAGCTTGTCCCTCACATATCCAACTGTCTACGAGTGGGTCTGACACCAGAGATGTTGATGTTGCAGGAGGATGCAGTGGATTTCGAGACGCCTCAGAACGCCAGCCGAGCCCTGAGATGCTGTCAGTTGAAGAGGTTTCGGGCCACAAAGACGGTGCATAGCACAGAGTTATAGTGGCGGTATGAAGTCAAAGTAAAAGCAGTGCGAAAACTTATGGAGGAACGGAAGTCTATTTCTGTGCGAACCTCCCCTCAGCAGCTGAACCGTCGACCTTCACTAAGCTGATATTGTGCTGAGACTTGTAGTCAGACGGTATCAGTGCTCGCGGGCCAAACTGTGTACTATGTGGAAAGGTAAACGCCCGGGGCCTGCTATCCCCAGATTGCTGGCTTAGGATTGTTGCGCCTTTAGTGTGTACGTCCAGCCATTCGTGTCGCCATGGACCCTCACGACCGGTACGGCTATGAAGAAGCGCTGTCTGCCAGGATGGTGAAGTTCGGGGAGGACGAAGTTTGCAAAATGGACTCGGATGAAGACTATGACGATGAGAGTTTCAGTGGCTTCACGTTCCCCGACCCAGTCCCGAGTTATCAAATATCCACCGTGCGCTTGGATGAGCAAGGTGTTCATGGGCAAAGCCTAAGCGGTGAGGTGTTGTTCAAGATTCAATGAAGTCGTCTTCAGGCGGAGCTGCTCACTGCCGAAATGCTGTTGGAACTGATCTCAGAGGAGACGGGATGCGAGGCCGGAGCTCTTCTCCAAGATGGCCGAGAACTATCAATGTCTGACCCCGTCGGTGGAGAAGGAGTTCTGACACTAAAGCAGGCAGTTCCTGGGTTCTTGTTAAGGAGATTAGTTTAAGTTACCAAAATACAGAAACCCCCCATTTTTTCTATAGAGCCTTACTATGGTAACTCAAAAATGTACCCCGCAACAAGAACCCAGGTTCAGGACTGTCGACCTCTGCTGTGCTGCAGGATCCCTAACTGGAATCGCTGTGGTCCAAGCTTCGGAGAGGGGGAGACTCACCCAAAGCTCAGCGATGTCACGGAACCCGTCCAGGCAGTGAAGCTGGGTTCTTGTTTAGGAGTTTATTTTAAATTACCATAATGGGGATCTACAAGGAATTTATTTTCAATTACCATAAGGGGACCTATAGGAGTTTATCTTAAATTACAATAATGGGGATCTATAGCAAGTATTGGAACCCGTCCAGGCACTAAAGGAGTGGCGGACGTGGGTGACAAGCTTAGACAGAACGGGCACACCTCATCAGGAGGAGTGTTGGCTGGTCTACACCCACCGGGAAGTCGTTTCCTACGAAGCAGGCAGAGATGAGCCGTTGAAGCCGTTCGGATATTTCCCTCAGGCACCTCTTTGGAAGCTCCCGGCAGGAACAAGGCAGTGGGGAGGTGCCAGAAGTGATGTCTGGAGTACTTGCCTCGAGTTGCCTGTGAGACAACTATTGGATGAGCACGCAGCCTTAACGCTCGACAGGCCAATACCTCGCCACCAGATGATCGTTGATCCCAACCGGTTTGTTCAGCAGACGCGTGACGGTCCGGTGTGGGTGCCGTGCGAGTTTGATGTTTCTGCAGATGGCACCCCATCATTGGTGGGTGGTATGCGGAGTCATGCGCATCCACGCCTTGCGCAGCATGTTGCACGTCCGGTCCTCGCTGCAGCTCTGCCCTTGTTGGCGAAGTTGCGGCGACCGCAGCTTCTCCTGGATGATCGGCGGCTTCAAGTTGTTTTTAAGGCACAGCGAATAATTGTTCCAGGCAATGTTGGCGACAAGTCCGATGCGGAGTACGTGGGTTTGTGGCATGTTGATGCAACAACACCGATGATTTGGGATAAGAATCCCTGCAAGAGCCAGAGTGACAAGTCTGCAGCAGTGCACAACTGTCGTGTTCCCATTGGTGAGGGCACCCTTCTTGTGTTTTCCAACTATCAAATGGCACACCGGGTGCTTCGGATGAAGAACACCGGTAAAACAGAGGCTTCCCGCGACTTTGTGGCACTCTTTGTCCTTGATCCGTCTGCGCCGGCCCTCCTGCCCGCAAGAAGCATTCTGGCAACGCCGCACCTGCTGACACGCACCCTGGCTCCTGCAAAGATTCCGATTTCAGGAATCCAGAAACTGCTGGAGTTTCTTGGGGTCTCGCTTAGCGATGTCATGCAGAAGATGCAGCGCAACCAACTACTTTCGGAACAGTTGAAGCCATCTGGTCAGTTCGCCAATGGGGGGGATGTCTACACGACCGGGAACGGATGCTTTACAATGATCGGCTGGCTGCACAAGTTGCTCGAGCCCATTGACGAAAGCGGTCGATTTCTCGACGAATGGCCAGAGAGAAACCCGAAGGGTTTTGAACGCCGCCTCAAGGCGCTGAATCTGCCTCCCGAGGGCTCCAACCGCGGTCTCTCCGAGGTTTTGTCGCTGCCTACAGCCAAGCTGCGGCAAAGGCTAAGCAAAGGCAAACGACAAGGAAAAGGAACACACAAAGGCTACTGAAAGCGAAAAGGCAAAGCAAAAGGAGAAGCAAAGGCAAGGGGCAACAGCTTTGAAGAGAGCCAAAACCCTAAACTCCGGTGTACAGTGTACAGATACATCAGACATCTGCCGGTGCTGAAAATCTGTGGTAAGTGTCGATTTGATTTGTAATCGTATCTTCTTGTAGTCCCTCTGTAGCCATACAATAAGACCCTTAGTAAGACCCGTGTAGTATGTGTCTTGCATTCAGCGCCGAGCTGCCTTCCAATTAAAACAATTCCTTCATAACGCCTACCGCCGGAACCCGGCTCTCTTTGTAGCTCTGTGTTGGGTTTACAGTAGGGTTCGGGAGTTTCATACTGTATGAAGACAAGTCTCAGATTCGGAGGAGACCCAGAAACCCGCGCCGCATCCGTCAGGCGTAGGGTTTGCGAGGGTGCGTAGGGGTAGGTTTTGTCGTTTTCCGGTTTTAAGGGCAACCCCAACTCGGGAAAGAGTACCCTAGTGCACAGCCGCCAAAGCTCAAGGGCCAACCTCCTCATAGTCATAGCCCGGAGAAAAGTAGGGATTAGGGTTCCCATAATAGGGTTCAGATGAAGGACTCCCGACTCCAAGAATCTTCAACCCCCCTTTTGGCCTCCCATCAAAGACGCCCGGAGACCATGGACCGAGCGTCGTGGCCACCTTGTCGTGAAACCCTATCAACACCCTGTGTAAACTCGTTCCAAGCACCGGTCCCCACCTGAAACTTCATACCCTGAAAGCTTAGCCACAAATTCCTACAGTAATGTATGTATGCATGTATGTTTTGGTTTGGCTTGGTGTGTTTTTCCGCACACACACACACACACACCCCTGCCTGTAGCTTGATTTAGTGACAACCCCCGTCCTCCAAGTACCCCTATACACCATATCCTAGGGCCACAAGTACTGAAACCTTGAACCGGAAAGAGTAGAAGCTTCTGTATCCCCTCAGCCTCCAAGTAATTACTCGTCAACCCTAAGCCCCAAGCCACACTTTCGGATGAAGAGTTCACTTCCTGGCCCAAAACCCAATTCGGCTTGAGGCTCGGGGCAAGGATTTGGAGTCAATCAGCCAAGGAAAGAAATTGCCGCTGACCCTACCTGTAGCCAGAAAGGCCTAGAAAGCTAGGTCTTTTCGGCTACAGGTAAACCCTAAACCCTAATTCTAAGTTCGAGCCCTGAAGTCGTGCTCTCTCTTTGCCCAGGTGTCGAAGAAGTCCGCTTCCAGGCTCCTGAACAGAAGTGTGGTGACGAACTCCTAATTCCTACGCAGTGTTTCTGAGGTCTAATGTAGTGGCCGAAAATAATTGCCTATACTATTTTGGGGGTTTCGTATTATAATTGTAGTATACTGGGCCCCGAAACCCTATTCGATCAAGGCTCCTACACTAAGTTTTCAAGGATTGTGGTCTTAGGCATAGTTCAAGGCTCTGGGTTTGGGGCTTGGGGCTTTCAAAGCCGCAGTAGTAACCACACCGAGAACCAGAATACTATAGGGGCCTCAATAATGACCAATACTATTTTGGGTGGTTTCCGATTATCATGATAGCATAATGATCCCCAAAACCTGTTGTCGTACAGGCTGCAGTTGTCGTGATCGCCTTCGTAGCAATACCCCTAGTAGCAGTAGAACTAGCCGTCGTTTGCCGTAGTGCATCAATGACAGGATCGGCGAGAACAGTTCCAGAGCGACGGCAGCACTACCTGATGGCAGTCGTACTCGTCGCTCGTTGTCTTCTTGCCCTTTCATTACATCAGAACCCTACCGAGTTCAGGAGAGTTCACGTCCTTTTGCACGGAGAGATCCATCAAATCGAAGCTTTCGGCTCCCGCGAAGCCGGCCTCGCTATCTGGTTCGAGCTGGCGCTATTCCCTTTATGACGAGTACTACTACACTGCTTTAGGAGGTCAAGACATTGGTCGTAGATTTGCCGCATACCAAAGATGTACTATAGGGGCCTAAATAATTATCAATATTTTCCTAGGATTCCCTGATTAGAAGAACAAGTATAATGGGCCCCAAAACCCTATTCTATTTATTAAGGCCACTACATTACACAGCCCCTGGCAGGGTGGAAACAACCAGACCTTGCACCTCGGCCTGCAATTGGCGCTGTTGCTCCCTAAACCCTAAACCTTATGCCGTAAACCCTCAACCCTAAACCCTATACCTTAAACCCTAAACCCTAAACCCTATACCTTAAACCCTAAACCCTAAACCCAAACAGGTTTCAGGATGAGCCGGACCCATCTCGTATCCCTTGCTCCGAAAGCTAGTCCCCTTATCAAAAAAACTGAATATTAGGAAAAGGGTTCCCTTTATTAAAACTGAATATTAGGAAAAAGGGGTACCCTTATTAAAAACTGAATATTAGGAAAAGGGGTACCCTCATTAAAATAGAGGGGCTACTCAGGAACCTAGAAAGTACCACGCCGCAGGCAAATTTCCTTGGGTAGCCAGCTGCCTGCTGAAGCGGAGACTGAGGCCCCTCTGTGGGTTGCAAGCAAAATAGGGGCCGCAATAATTACTTGTACCATTTTGGGGTTCCTTAATACTTACTTATACCATTTTGGGGTTCCTTAATAATTACTTATACCGTTTTGGGGCCGCAATAATTACTTGTACCATTTTGGGGTTCCTTAATTAGTGTTATAGTATGATATACCCCAAAACCCTGTTCCAATTATTGAGGCCCCTATATTACTTAGCCGTCGAGAGTCCTTTGCCCATATTGCCCATGGGCTTTTTGCGAGTTGGAGGATGCATCGATTATCAAGGTTCGTCTAAGGGTTTAGGATCAATGGTCCTTTTAAGGGGATGAAGGGTCCCTTGAAGGTTTAAGGTGTCATTAGGCGAACTACATCATGGAAGTGGATTGCACATGATTCCTGTCGTAAGAAAGTTGGAATATGTGTTCGGCGGCAAATGGGTTGCGTGCGCGAAGCACCACATTCCCAAACTTCCTGTGGAATCTTACGCGACACCCTGTATATAAAGAGTCTTGTTAGACCCCCTACAAACAATCCTTTCCGACCCTGCCCTTAACACTCTGCCATGCAACCTGATAATGACAGCAAAAACAGTGATAGTATTATGTAGTGTTTGTTGTTACAATACAACTTGTGTTATACTTCTACTAATAGCAACAATGCCACAGCCCAAGGCCAACCTCCCCTTGACAACCCTTACCTCCCTCTGCGCCCTTGCCTCACTTCTGCTAATATGGTAGTCTAACTGTGTACTGCGACGCAGGGTCGTGCTACCGCTGCTACAAGTGCTACCGGTTTAGGCAGTTGTACCTCGTAATTATTCTACGGTTCAGATTTTCAGTGGTCGACAGGTGTTGGCGATGTTCTGGCAACAACAGACAAGGAAGTACAGGTGGTCAGAAGGGGGTTCACCTCACACCCGACGAGTTCTACTCAAAGCTTGCGGAATGCAAGATCCATGGAAAGCCGAAGTTCCCAAAGGCTACATCGGACCTCAACCAGCAACGATAGATGCAGTGCCATTGCTGCAAAGTCTTGTGTCCTTGGGGCCCTCCCCTTCTTGGTGTGCCAGTTGTAGTCTTGATCAGGCCGACACCTATCAGGTGATCTTAGACCTCACGTCGGACAGCAGCGACGACCGAGCACCTCCATGCAATAGCATGGCAGTTCGGGCTTGGGGGAATAGACGGTACTAGTTCAGAGACCCCCTTCTAGTAGTCGAGTAACCCTTAACCGTTTTGGGGAGTACCTATATAACCAAAGCGGTTAACCTTCCTTCCCCATGATACCCTACAAGTAGGCCCTTCATGACAGCAGCAGCAGCAGCAAGAACAAGCTTTCTCAGCTGTGGCCATAAGTCATTGCTCGACAATCACGCAGTCCTGAATCAAGTAACCTAATGATCACCATAGCCACTAACTACGTTGCATTGATGAAGGGCCTTGCTCCTGCCGACCCGAGCAAAATTACAGGGGCCTTGAATAGGATTTTGGGGCCCGTTATACTCTAATCATAATAAGGAACCCCCAAAATAGTATTGGTGATTGTACTAGACGCCCATAATGCCCCCTTTCGATAATCCTTAAAAACCCTTGTGACGTCCCGATGCGTGGAGAGACAGAGGGAGAGGCTGCAGGGCACGGCACACGTTACTTTCACGGCGACGACGACGACTACTACAACGACGAGTACTACTGCTACTACTACTACTACTACTACTACTACTACTACTACTACTACTACTACTACTACTACTACTACTACTACTACTACCGGTACCAATACTCCGAGGTCTACTGGATAGGTGTGAGTGTCAGCAGCCGTTCCTTTCGAAGCTTGGAACACAAGCCCGCCCTTTTCCAGGCCGTCACTGCACAGCGAAACTGTCTCCAGCTTTCGCCAGCAAGCGAGGCTTTTTAAGGTTGAGGGCTGAAGAATTGAGGTCTTTGCGACCACTTTGAGATCTGTGCAGGATCGAGAATCTAGAGTCTGGAGCTTTGGTCACGTTTTCTCTCTGATTTGTTTCGACGCCGGAGTCCCTCACCGAATCCGTATAGGCGCAGTCGTGCTTTCTGAACTGGAAAAGGCACCAGAGAAGAGGGCGAAGTCGGCATAGTTGCATTTGGTTCTTCGGTTTAGGTGCAACCACATATCCAGTGTCGGGTATCCTTCTCCAGTCCTTTCCTACCTTTCCTGCAGGTGCATGTGTTGAAGCAGCTTGTGAGATGCGGGCAACAAGGTTGCATTCATGGCAGCTTCTTGAACTTCGGTACACGCTCTATGTCTTGGCTTCTCTGGTTCTCAGTCCAGGATGCTTTGTATGGCGCCGTTGCCCTCTGGAGCAGCTATATTTGCTTTGAGCCACCCGAACCAAAGCCGCAGTGCAGAGAGCACCCTAGATTCCGATGTGGCAATGCAGCCCCTGCGAGTTTTTCGGCCTTGGCTGAGGCAAGTGGTCCGAATTCTCGAGGCCCTCTACGGAACTCTCCCGAATCCAAGGACTGAGA